TGCTGTCTTCGCAGTCTCTCAGTAATGTGTAGCTGCATTTTCCAGGGAAGTAGTAATAAAGTCCATCAAAGGTTTCATAGTTGTATTGTCCCCACGAGCGGCACGTCATCTCTCGCTCAAAGCCTAGGTTGGGGACTGAAACATTTTATCCATTATTTGTCATGCCAAAACTCAGAGAATGATCTCAAAATGAGATTAAATTGTATGATCCGCAGTACAGTACCTGTCTGGCAGTGTGTTCCAGTGGCCTGGTATAAAGTGCAGTTACAGGAGTCTAGATGGACACACCAACCCCCATTCAGACAAGAAGATGTACACTCACCTGTATGGCACAAATAAAGCACATTAAAAAGTGTGTGTTTCAGTGCATTTAAGCGTGTGTAAGGTATCTGGTAGCTGAAATGGTCATTGAAGCATTAAGATGAATCCCGCTGTGTATAATGATGACACTCATCAGCCTGTTGAACAGATGTCTAGTGAAAGAGGGGGCAGTCCCTTTCTCACATTTCAAATGAGCATAACTCTTATTGTTTGCAGTTTATCATTACAAGAATTAGGTTTATGCATCACAAACGTGCACACACAGTAATTATTAATATGTTATAATAGCTTATAATATCTTACTAAATGCAATGCACAAATAAAAGTAGTATCATACTTCTTGTACACACACATCAACAAACAGTTCCTTACAGATTAACCCCTAATCATATGTGCAGGTGTCACAGACATGCAAGCAAAAAAAGAAACAAAAAAACACATAGAGCATTGTTCAACGGGGGGAACGTGCACAAAGAACCAAAACATACACAAAGAGAGCACTGGGCCTCCTAAACTATTGTAACATTCTGCTCAGTTCTTACCAGTGGCTCTGCGGGGTGATGGCTTCTGTGCTTCTGTTTGTTCTGTTGATGATGTGTTGCTCTCTAAGGACCTCTTTAAAGGGAAAACATATATAAAAATTCAGTTCACACATAGTTTGTTGGTAGTCCAGGCAGTTTGTCAATTACTGAAATAATTTGTGACAACCAAAGCTGAAGTTCAACTAAATATTCATTCCACATTCAAATGTATTACAAATGCATTAAGTACAATTAAAATGTAATGTGCATGCATCATGACTCATTAAAAATTATTATTGAAATGTTCATAAAAATATGTAAGCACATTAATATTATAATATGCATTCAATGCCTTTTTTTACAGTATGTAACAGGGGGCCCCTGGTCTGTAGCTCTATCCTCCAAGGGGTCTTTGGCTTGGAAAGACCCCTGTATTAGGGTCTGTTGACACTAAGAAGGATAACTATGAAGATTTCCACAACGATGTCTATATTAGGCTAGCGTCCACACCAGCGGACTACGTTCTGTTTATTACAAGTGCGAATTGACTTCTGCCGCTTTAGCAGGAAAGATGCTGACTGGCTGTCAATGTTTCTATCGTTCATCTGCAGTGGGAAGAAAAAAAACGTTTTGAAATTGATTCTAACGATATCGTTCCTGTGTGCCGTTATCGTTATAGATGTGGCGTGGACTCGGCTATCCTTTTACATTTAGAACGATTTTTAAAACTATATCGATATCGGATTTGGTGTGAACGGGCCTTAAGACTGAAAGAATAGGCTACATTGAATTGTCAACAAAGAGACATAGGCTAACTCTGAAAGTTTGAGATTAAATACAAAGGCAGTGAGAATTTTGTGTTACAAGCTTATATAATTATGACTGTTGACAAATTAAGCTTAGGTGAAAAATACAACGTCTATCCTTCAACTACTTTAATTTGTTCTCATATATCGGATTGATTAAGACCTCCTAGAACTAATTTATCCGGAGACCCAGAAGCAGGACGCCACAGGGCAAATCTGAAATTCCAATCAAAGTCTTATCTAATAAATCATTGTTCACTTGTAGGCCTACAGAACCTGGAAGCGTGCTGCGCAAAGCATGGATACGAGTTTGTTATTACAGCAGGAGAGCGATTAGCGATTCACTTCACTTCAGAACTAAATCATTTTCTTATCTGACTGAAACCGTCTCTATTCTGCCCGCTGTTCCCCATCACACCTGATATCTGAGAATTCAATAATTTTATATAGCTTACAAGGCTGCAAGGGAGATGTGTTCTGACATAATGAACGGGGCCAGTGTGTCTCAGTGAATAGCGGCTCTGGGGAACAGCCGCTCCAGCTTTACCAATCCTGAGCGCACAGCGGACATCTGAAACCGCTTTGCTGCCTCCGAAATGACGGCTTTTGTCCCAAAGAGCTCGACAAAGCCAGCACTGGGGGATGTGTTTTCAGTGTGCGAATTAAACAATGAATTTCAGGGGGGTCAACTTCTTTTAAAAGAAAATTCGCAAGGAGTTTCTCAGGGCGCAATCTGTCGCGTTCACCTGTTTTTGTGCGCCCCTGACACAATTAACCAAATGCCAAATACTTTTACGTTAGCCTACACATTAATATGCCTATAACCTATAATAAAAACATAACGACAGTTAACGACTGTTTCATCAATGTCAAACGCAAAGTGCTCGAGCAGCGTGCTGTTGCCATGGTTACCTCTTCAATCAAACAAGTTTTCGTACTAAAAAAAAAAAAGTTGTAGGCTACCCTGGCAAAAAAAAAACTAAGCTATTCTAACATTTGTGGTTTCTAAAAGGTTTGAACCCCAGTAGAAAATCAACGTTAGGCTATAGCTATGCTTGCACGTAAAAAGAATTTACACATTCTGGCCCTCCGCAACCCAGGGATTCAAATTAGGGGCTCCTGAGCCTAGGCTCCCAAATCCGTCCAGAATTTGCACCTCCCTTTCCTTCTTCAATTATTAAACACATGGCATCAGTGAATCGACGGTAGTAAAGACTGATGTTGTTCAAATCATGAACAATTCTTGGACTCACTGAGCCAGGGGAGAAATTGTTATTTTCTATTGTTATTATAATAATAATTTTAATATTATCAATACCATATATTGTAATTTAAACCGCATCCATTATGTGCAAACTGCACCTTAATTAGATCCTAATTCATTCAGGTATTCTCACCATATCTGGATTGACAAACTCGCTTTTATCATAGATCATGAAAACACAGCTTTTGCAAACACCTTGTTTTCTGTGATGTTATGCATTTAACCTCGTGGCAATGCATTTAGCGCAGGTTTCCTGTGCGCGCTCTCAATGCATCGCTTCAGCTCTCCTACCTGCTCCGTCTGAGAAGCGGGATCCCATTTCTCCAGCATTATCCTGCTGCTCTCGCTGCTGCTGAGACACAGAGAACAAGGAGCGGTTTGTTCCTCTCACACAGCTAATCAGCACTTGTGTTAAACAGAAAACCCAGAGACTCACAGGCGTTTCAACTGAGCTTTGTTGGCCTGTTTCACAACTGTTACAGGCCTGAAGACCTTTCATGTGATTTCATCAAACGTGCGTAAAATTAGCGCGAGTTGTTGAGTCAGGATGTCTAAAGATGTTTAAAAAGTGCAAATAATGTTTAGGCCTACCATTATCGGTAAATAGACGTAGATTGTAAAACAAAAAGGATTTCCTTTATACAATTTTTTTTAATTAATAATAATAATAATAATAATAACACATGAAAATATAAATTCATGACGCACATCGGATAGACACATAAAAGTAAATATAGTAAATATCACTTTTCATAATCATGCTGGTGTGTTAAATTCAGACTTTCAGTGCACCACGTGATATGTGCTGAAAAGAAACAAATTATCATCACATTAGTGCTGCACTATACGTCTAGATCTTTTTTTCCCACATGTTAACTTTTCTGTATCAAAAACTTAATAAACGCTTGGAATATATATATATATATATATATATATATATATATATATATATATAAGATGTGTATAA